AGGGTATAAACTATTTGTAAAGGATCATTTGCGTTTTCTTAAAATACATGTTTCCGATAAGGTGATATAATTTAGCGTTTATATGGTCATGAAATAATTACAAAATGTTAAGGGCACCGTTAAAGTTTTGTAGCTATAGATCTCTTTTAATATTTATTTTAAGTTTAGCTTAAAATAATATATAACAAGAAAGGAAAGCTAACTTCGGGCGGAGCCGAAGTTGAAATACCCTTGCAGAATATTCTGCAAATTATATTCTCCAAAATTATTCATATGATGCATTCTTAATACTCATAAAAAATCCCAACTTCCTAACTTTAAAAACACCAAAGTTATGGCATTTCCAATCGTTCAGTTATGTATATGGCAGCTATAGAATATAGTCGGCCGATCCTTATGAAATTTGATATGTCGGATTGATTAGGCAAAAATAAAACCCATAGAAAATCCCAACTTCCTAACTTAACAAACACCAAAGTTATGGCATTTCCGATCAATCAGTTATATGGCAGCTATAAGATATAGTCGGCCGATCCTTATGAAATTTGGTAGGTCGGATTAATTGGCCAAATATTAAACCCATAGAAAATCCCAACTTCCTAACTATACAAACACCAAAGTTATGGCATTTCCGATCAATCAGTTATATAGCAGCTATAGGATATAGTCGGCCGATCCTTATGAAATTTGGTACGTCGGATTGATTGGCCAAATATAATACCCATAGAGAGTCCCAACTTCCTAACTTAACAAACAGCAGAGTTATGGCATTTCCGATCAATCAGTTATATGGCAGCTATAGGATATAGTCGGCCGATCCCGGCCGTTCCGACTTACATACTGCGTGCAAAGGAAAGAAGGGTGTGTGCAAAGTTTCAATTTGATATCTTTAAAACTGAGAGACTAGTTCGCGTAGAAACAGACAGACGGACAGACAGACGGACAGACGGACATGGCTATATCAACTCGGGAGGTGATCCTGATCAAGAATATATATACTTTATAGGGTCGGAGATGTCTCCTTCACTGCGTTGCACACTTTTGACCAAAATTATAATACCCTCTGCAAGGGTATAAGTATGAAACAACATAATTATCAATTTTATGAGAATATTTTCTTAATCATACATTATATAAAGTAATGTTAAATTTAATCTAAAATAATAAAACGTATTATTAATATTTTATATTGAAATAGTGTTATTACGAAAATATCCAGTATACTGAAAAAGGGCAAATCAATATATTTATGTTCCCATGTACACATTATGCTTGGTTTAATTTTAAATTTAAATTTCAAATTTTTTTTCAATAATGGGTATAATATGAACAACAAATTCCAGTTGCTTTACCATGTCTAAATCAACAAATTCGGGAATCTCCTAACATTTTCCGTCACCCCTACAGCTTCCCACTATCAAGGATTTCGTCATCATCAAGCCCATTAGTCGTGGCGCCTTCGGAAAGGTGTTCCTGGGTTACAAGAACAACGACGCAAAGCGACTGTTCGCCATCAAGGTGATGCGCAAGTCGGAGATGATCAACAAGAACATGGTATCCCAGGTGATCACCGAGCGGAATGCCCTGGCTCTGTCCCGATCCCAGTTCTGCGTTAGTCTCTTTTACTCGCTGCAATCTGTGTCTTACGTCTACCTGGTGATGGAGTACATGGTGGGCGGCGATCTCAAGTCCCTCTTGGCTATGTTTGGGTATTTTGACGAGCCCACTTCCCGATTCTACGTGGCCGAGATGGTGATGGCGCTGCAGTATCTCCATCAGCACGGAATTGTCCACCGGGACATCAAACCGGACAACATGTTGCTCTCGGCCACTGGCCATGTGAAGCTTACGGACTTTGGGCTGAGCAAGATCGATATGCGAAGAGATTTGGAGATATCTGACCTTATAAATTGCTCGCCGAATTTGAATGCCCGCACGCCGGGTCAGCTTTTGTCGCTCACATCGCATTTGTCCTTTGGCTCCGAGAAAAAGCTGCAGGATTTTGGATCCGCCTCAAATGGTCTAACAACCGGAACGTGCCAGGTAGCCACGGGCACATCCCACCTCCTGCAGGCCATCAACAAACACAGTCTGATCATGGAGCTGTCGGACAGCGAGGGCGACACTTCGCTCAACGATGCTGAAAAGACGAGCGACAGCAAGATCTCCGGGGTGTCGCCATTTTTCTCCGCCGAGGAGGCCAATGAATCCATCACCCACACGTGCACCACCAACATAAATGTGAGTATACCTATCTTTTTTTGACAGGGATAAATAATATGATTGCATTTTTCTTCTTGGTTTTGTAGAATTTTACCGACAAAAGTAGATTTTCTAACATCCTCCTCATTTGATTTATCTAAAAAACAAATTTTGTATTTTTAAAAGAAGAAAATACAAATACAGTAGAATCCGGTTACAGCGACATTCAACGAAGCGACGATTTACGTCGTTATACCCGGAAGACGCAATAACCATATAAGTTTCTATGGAGACCAACCAAGCCATCTAGTTTTCGTCGCAATAAAAGGACGGACACTATAAGCGGAGTCTTTATAACCGGATTCTACTGTAAAAAGTTAAAAAAAAAAGAATTCAAACTGAAGATAAAAATGATTTAACACCAAAAACCTAAATCTTTTCGTAATATAGACAATCATTTTTGCATAATTGTTATATTTGTTCCTTGTAACGTCTTAATATTACCCGCTTACAGCAGAATCTTACTTTTTTGAGTTATATTCCCAGCCTCAGGATAGCAGCTCTTCTTGCTCTTTCCACACTTGTAATTCGGCTGATCTGAGTAAGTGTTCGCCACCACTGGATTCTGCTAAAGATATTGCTGCTGCAGCGGAGGCAATTCCCAGCAAGCGACGCGTGGAATTTGCCTTGGAAACGGTAATCTGTCAGGTGAGTGGCCAATCCAGTAACCGCTGTTTTCATTTGCATAAACGGTTGACTCTCTAAAAGGGCTGCAAGCTGGCCGAGCAGGACAGCGGCAACATCGCTACCAATGGAAGCAAACATTTGCCAAAACTGGAAAATGCCAGCGAGGCTTCATTTGAGTTTTCTATGGTGCGCAGGCGATCAGTCGACGAGGTGCGTTGGCATGTGCATGAGTGTGATTGTCTATTGTCCTGTTTCCGTTTTTGTACTAAAAGGCTGGCAGTTTATAACCCGTTTTTTCCAATACTAACTTTTCTGCTAACGAGAGCCTTTGGTTCTTACATATCCATAACATATTTATAATCCAATTAATAAGTGGCCTGATTCCCTTTCCTCAGCGTAACCGTACCGCGAAGGGGCAGGAGGATTCGGGCGTGTCGAGTCGCAAAGGCGATGATTACTCCAGTTGCAATTTGAATCTGAACAGTGAGAGCACAGCTTCGTCGATTGAAAAGAATGCGGAAAACCTGAGCCAGTCCAAGGAGGATTACAGCTGCTCGGATTACTCGCGCAGCTACAACATGACCAATGGCAATGAGATGAGCGGGATCCACATGAATTCGCCGTTTCGCAATTTATCCAAGCACTTTAAGCGCCCCGACTTCCTGCGCGGCATGAAGCGGAAGATCAACCTGGTCAACCGCTCCGACAACATGTCCAGTATGGAAGCCGACGGCTCCAGTTCGGGCAACGGCAGCGCCAACACCGGACTTACCCAGGAAATCGAGATACTCAACATTGGTAGTAGCACGCCCAAGAAGCGCAAGGCCCGCTCATCGCCGATCCGAGGAGTGCTCAAGGTGCGCTCTTTATCCGACGACGAGATGCCCATGAACCATCTGCTTGGACCGGAGGCAAACGTGGCCAATGTTGTCTTCTCTACGCCAGTCTCTTCGCAGAAGCTTCCACGTCGCGATGGCGGCCTGCTGGGAAAGCTGAAGGCCACACGGTTTGCTTTGCCCCTGTCCATCGAGAACAAAAAGCGGGAGCACGCTGCCGCCGATAAGATGTCGGGAGTACAGTACCACCTGAAACTGTCTGACGATCCTACAATGTCGCCCATCAACCATGGGACCGGCATCCTGCCAAAGACGCCGAAAAACGTGAACATCAATACACCATTCCGCACCCCGAAGTCGGTGCGGCGGGGGGGGTCGGGTGTCCAACGAACGCATTTTGGGCACGCCTGATTATCTGGCACCGGAGCTGCTGCTAAAGCAAGGACATGGTCCAGCCGTCGACTGGTGGGCGTTGGGAGTCTGCTTCTATGAGTTTATGACTGGCATTCCGCCGTTCAACGACGAGACGCCTCATAAAGTATTTGACAACATTCTGAACAAAAGTGAGTTTAATTTCTTAATTTCTACAACTATTAAATTTTTTTTTTTACTTCCGATGCTTGTAGACATCGAATGGCCAGAAGGCGATGAGGCATTATCCGTCGAATCCATGGAAGCTGTGGAACTGCTCCTGACCATGGATCCTAACGAGCGACCCGCCGCCAAGGAGGTGCAGCAGATGCGACACTTTGCATGCATCGACTGGGAGAATATCGGCAACACAGAGCCTCCTTTTGTGCCAACACCAGACAATCCCACGGATACGGGATATTTCGATGCACGCAACAACCTTCAGCACCTGCAGCTGTCCAACTTTGCCGTGGAAGACTGACTGCCCGTTCGGAGCCCGGCTGCCTCCGTTTTAGCTCGTTCGTCCCGAGCACTGTCCTATCGTTATTTATATTTTCATGTAGCAATACCTAAGAGTAGACTTTTAATGTTCACTTGTTATCGTTCGTCTAGCCCTACTTATTTATATTTTGTTTAAATTTAATTCAATTGTATCATTAAATTCTTTGTACCGTCATTCATTCGATTGTTGCTGTCATGATCGTCAATTATCCTGATCAGCGTTAAGTTAAAAAAAAATTTCGGTACTAATTTCGAGTTTGTTACTGTAACTACGCTTCAAAAAAAAGCTTCAAGTATGCACCATTGAGATATATCCAATAAAGTTATAGTCTTAAAGATGAAAATAATAATTTCGAGTACAAATTACATTTTCTTGCAATTTTAAAAATTGCACAAAAACTGATCACTTTATTTACCCTAAACCTAGTTAGATGATATATAACACCTGGAAAATAACACAACTGGCTGTAAAGATTTTTAGAATTGTTCGCTTGGTCGGTAAGCTATGTCGCGATTAGTTTGAAGTCAAAGTCCCAGATCTCTGGAATGGTTGTCAGATAGCTTTCCTCGTAGAAGATGCTGATAAGTCGACAGACCATATGCGGAACAGCCCGGATATCGGGCCAGGTGTTTTCCTTGAGCAGACTGACGGCCCGGACGATTAGGGGCTTGATATCGGTGAACTTCTTGTTGGCCAGCAGCATGGATAACTCGCGAATCGCGCTTTCGTACTCCTCTGATGGAATTCGAAGATCCCGATTGGCCGGGAATAGTGAGAAGATGACACAGGCTAAGCAACGAGTTAGGACTTTTCGTCTACAAAAAAATTAGAAGATATTTACAATATTCACATTTCGGATTTGAAGACTTTTATTAAAAATGTGGAAACTAACCTGTTTGTTATAACCTCCGACTTCAGACCAATCACACCCAGTAGCCCGTCACCCCACCCCTCGGCTTTGGTTGATGCAATCTGCAAGTGTCTGGCCAGCATGTGGAGTGGTTTTTTCACAAGATGGTTGCTCTGCAGAATCTGGCACCCACGGGCAATAATCACGCCCCAGACAAGAGCCATTCGCGGCTCAGTTAGTGGACTGGTTTTTAGATTCTCCAGCAGCTGGCTGAGATCCTGCAAAAAGGTCACCTTGTCTCCGTCCGCCGCGATCTCCTCCATCTTGTAGACAACAAAAACGTGCAGCGAAAATAAGTAGCCACCCTGCATGATCGGCAAAAGGTCTAGTTTTGGCACCGACATGCTAAGAGCCTCCATCAAACATTGCCAGCTGGGTGCATGCCAAGGAGAACTCTCGGGCGAAGTGCGGAAGAAGTTCTCAATGCTCGCCTCCAGAAGCGAATAAATGCTCGCAATGTACGTGTTTAGATGACCGATGGCGGGCAGGGTGGAACACATAACCAGGTTGCCCGGTGCACATCGCTGCTGCCACCAGACAAGAGCCTTAATGTGTATACTGAAAGGCATTGAATTGATAAGTAACTCAATAGAATGTAACGGCAAAATATAAGGCATATTTTATACTTAGACACTTCCTGACTCTGCGTCTGGGTAGGCGCCACCAACTCCAGCATGAGGTTAAGGGCTTCTCTGCGCTGCTCTTCCGGCGTACGATGCTCACTGCAGCTGCAAATGGCGCGGTCGATATTATTTAGCAGTTCCAGGAAGGCGTCAGTAAAGGCACGCTCGCCCTCCTTTGTGGCTAGCAGCTTCTTGTGCTTGGCTCCACAGGCTCGCTGCATGCGGACCATGGACCGCGTGTAGAGCATTCGCTTAGCTGTTCCCAAGACGACAGCATCCTGAGCAGAACGTTCCGGCGACATGGCACAGGCCAAGCGAAGAAGTCTGCGGCAAAGAAAAATATTCGAAATGAACTCTTTCCGTAATTGGGATGTGCATAATATACATTTTATATGTACTTACTCCAAAACAGCGCGATCCGCATAATTGCTCTCGGCTGGTAACTTCAATGCAATGGCTGGCTCCACACTGGCCACGAACCACTTCAGCAGTTGCTCCAGCTCGCTGTATTCCACAAGGTGCCATGGATACAGAATGGCTTCCTCTAAGATTTTGCTTGTATTGGGATGGATGTGAATATTTGGTTCGAAGGCGATCTTCACAAAGATGCCGAATAGTCTGGAGAGAATGACCACCGGTTGGGGCATCTGGGCAAACCAGTTGTTCCAGTCAATCCGAATGAATATATGCCCCAGCATGGCGTGTGATTCCGGCAGGAATCTTTGAAGGCTGTCGTACAGAGACTCAACGTGCTGTGCCGGCGGCAGAAAACGTTCCCAGGGTAATTGAGCCAATCCCTCGTGAATGGGCGCCAACACGTGGCCTGCTATGTTGGGCTGTGCGAAGTGGTGCACATACCAGGCAAATACGTGCTCCAGAATCTTGTTCGACGATGGCAGGTACTGCAGAACTTGCAGTATGGTGGCCACGAAGGAACGGATCATAAGTTTGCTGCTGCTAACCTGCTGCTCGCTCCATGGCAGGAGCACTTTGCTCTGTCCGGGAGTCAGTTGGCGTATCCAGTGAGCCACGCCACTAACCGTCTGTTCGGTGTATGGAATCAGCCAAGGACCGTAAGTCTCCACGATGGAGCCGAAGACAATGTCGCTAACTGAAAGAAGAAGATAATGAGTATTTAATAATAAATATGTGAATCCAACATATTAAATTGTGGTTTACTTACTCTGATCGGCTAGTAGCTCCTGGTAGCTGCATATGGCCATGGCCAACAGAGTATGACCGAAACAGGTGAACCACAGAACCAGTGGCTGGCAGTAATCCTTGTGCTTAGGATACAGTCCATGCAGTCCGTGATGAAGTCGCTCCTTTTGAAAGTGCCGGGACAAGAGCAAAAGCGTGTCGGTTGCCGCCTTCAGGGTGAATAACTTCTGGCGCCGGGCAAAATCCAAAGCGAGTTCGTGCACACGCACCTCGGATTGTTCAAAGGAAAACTCTGGACAGTTGGATCGAACGAACAAAGCGTTCAGCAGATCCAGAAGCACCACCGGCATCAGCTTCTGGTCCGACGTACGGTCCAAAACTAACTGCATCACCTCGCCGTAGTGCTGCGGAAAGTCGTAGCCAAAGATGTGAACAAGATGTCTGCGGAACTGATCCTGCAGAAGGCTGCTATGCGGCTGAGACCACGCCTCTAGACCCTGCAGTACCAGCATTAGCAGACGATTAATCTCGCTAAGCTTCGGCTGATAGGCCTCCATCCAACCCAACAGGTCGAATTTGGAGAATAGCACGAATAGTGTCTGTGTGTCGCAGCGCTTAAGATGCGAATCGATGAGAAACTCGTACATGGGCAAGAAGTGCTCCACGTCCGTGCTGCTGGGTACAAAGACTCCGGCCAGCAGCTCCAAGAGATCGGGTCTCTTAAGGGCCAGGCGTAGAACAACCAGGCCCTGGGCAGCCTGATCTGCATGCAGAAAAATCTGATAGATAAGATTCATAAAAATTAAAACATATAAATATCACTTATTAATCTTATACCTACCCCAAGCTTCTCTAACACCTGAAAGTACAGATCATGTGTTGGGTGGAATTTCATAGTCACTTCGCTAAGGTTATCCACCAGATGGTAGAAAACCTGCACTCCAATTTGCGTCACTTTCGACTCTATCGGGGCAACAAGAAGGGCACCGATACAGACGCCAAATTCCTCAATGGCTTCTGCAAAGCTATCAACATTCATTGCCAATAGCAGATCCTCTATAATTTTGTCATGTCGTTCGCGATTCTGCGTTTGTTTTCGGGATATAACATCGTTGATTCGTATATGCTCTGGCGTCAATTTAATATGGGCAGGCGCTGTACAGGTCCGCTTAAAGAGCAAGGATGTGCACTCCTTTCGCCTAGTCTCTTCGTAAGAAATCATTTGGTAAAGAGCTGGCACACTCTCCAAATAGTTAAGGTTCAGGGAATTTAACTCGGATGTCTTGTAATGGTAGGTGCTTAAGATTAACGTGTAAGTTTGGTCAATTTATTAAGGTCATACTTTATACATTTAACAAACTTACTTGGCCGTTGAGTTGAATGTGTTTAAGCGCTTCTGAAGCTGCGTCATAATGTTTTCATCGATAGGTGGTGTCTGGATGGGTTCTACACGAACGTGGGTTGGGACCGGAATAATCTTTTCGTACGTAATCAGCAGGCTCTTTATATGTTGAGCAGGAGGCTGTCGCGGCTTCGGTTGCACCGGAGTTCTGGGTGACTTTTGGTTAGGAAATCTCATCACTTTTCGCCCCCACTGATCTGCCTGATGACGCTGCTCCTTGCGCAGGGTCGCCAGGCAGAGGAACTCCGTCCAGTGATTGACATGACCACTTAACAGCTCACGCAGTTTCTCTGAGTTGTACTGCGCAGGTAGCTGCTCGGCATCGCTGGTAAAGCGATTAATTTGAGTATCCTCCAGCCAGAGCGCACAGTTCTGCATCAGCTTGCAACAACTGCGATAGAAGTGGGCCATGGCATCGTCACTGGCGCTTTTGGTTGCCAACGCGGAGTAGTAAGACTCAGCAGACTTAAGTTGGGACTTAATACTCTTCATCAAAGGCACATTGTGTTCGTAGAACCTGTCGGAAACTCCAAAGTTGTGACTAAAGTTAAGCGATTCGTTTTCCGTTGGCACTCGCCAAAGATAAAGCTCAAAGAACTTCTGGCAGACGATGGGAAATAAAGCATGATTGCTCTCCATGCTGGCCAGAAGTTGGGCATACTTGAATATTACAAGTTGACTGGCGGGGAAGGCACTGGTTTTGCTCAATGAGAACGTCTTCTTGAGAGCTGCCTCCACGGGTTGAGCGGAAACTTGCCGCAAAAACTCCGGGAAGATGCGGGTATCCACCAGACGGAACTCTATCTCCAGCAGCACCAAATTTAGCCAGCAGTTTTGCGGCGAAATCAAAGGTATTCGTGAAGGAGACTGGGCACCGAAAAAGGCTTTAAGAGCTGATCCCTTGGGAGCTGTCTTCCAATCTGTGCAATCCTGTAGTTGCAACAAAAAAAAATTAATATTAGCTCAAATAAGATAAAGCTCAAAACTCTAGTGTTTATCACAGCTCAAATATATATATATACATTTCTCATATCTGAAAAAGATTCATTTCACTAAAATTCCTCGCTTAAAGGCGAGATTTTGTTTACCTTGTAGTAATTGTAGAAAAATTCCACAGCCTGAGCTCGACAGTCGGGGAACTGGTAAGAAATACGGAGCATTCTGTCAAGCAGATACAGTAGATTCGAGTTCTGAGACCAGCCTGGCAAGGTTGTAAAGCAATTGAGCCAGATGTTGAGAAGATTAAGCGGGGAACAAAGACCATAGCTACAAAAAAAAGAGCAAAGATTAGTAATTAAATAGGCTTTAAAATATTATTTAAGTTTACCTTGTATATGAAATAATTTGATGATGAAGCATGTTGTCCAGCAGTTCCAAAATGGGGCCAATGGAATTAGCGTAGACCATATCCTTAGCTAGCTTCAAATAAGTTCTGTCCGCATTTAAAAGAGTAATCAACAGTCTCTGAAAACTATAATTTGAATCCGTTGTATTATTTGGTTAATAGATTGAAGATTCAATAACACACCTTTCACAATTTGCAAGAGTTTCAGGTGTTTCCAAAAACAACGGAACGATCAACTCTAAGCACCGAATGGTGGCCGCATGTCGGTGATCCAAAAGAAGTTGCTGCAGAAGGTTGAATCCGTGCTGACAGATCAACGGAATAGAGTGGCCTTGTAGGCTGACCAACATACCCACATACAGGGCCAGCGGGCGATTCTCATTTACACCCTGAAATATCATCTCCATACGCTCTAGTTCGGGAACAAAAAGAAGTGGTTCCGTGGGATGATAAAGCGTGCGCTTCACGGACTCAACGCCTTGATCCATCAGATGCAGGCGCAAGACGGACACCATGCGCCAGCACCAATTGGTAAACTGCTCCCGACTCGATTGAGTAGAATCGATCAGCGAGGAAACTTGGCGCACGCTCTCAGAAATGCCGGAGGCTCCTATAACCTCAGGAGCGTACTTGTTCAGGGCTTCATTCACCAGGTGAGCCATTCTTACATGAATATTGTGGGGCAGGAAAAGACGTCCCTCGCAATCCAGTCCCCAGTTTAAGTGACTGATGATCAAGCGAGCTAAATGGCTTTCCGAAGATTGGTAGTCAAAGTGGAGGAGCCAGTTCGAGAGAACCTCAAAACTATCCATGCTGGGATGCCAGTTCTCTAACGGCAGAGCTTTAAAAAGATACGCAGCTTGATCTACGTCCCCGTATCGCATCTTTAACAGAACTAGCAGGCTACCCAACAGTTCCTCATCCATTAAGTTGGCCAGCATATCACGTGCTGTTTTATAGCAAATCTCCCTCGTAGATTGATGTATGTATCCGATGCGGAAAATGTGCAGGCAGATAGCCTTGACGAGGTTCCCATCCTTAGAGCGATTTCGATCGTTGGCCATCTCAAAGAAGGTCTGGAGCAGATAGTACATATCTTCAGGTGCCACATCCGCATTCGCCAGATCGAATTTGGTCCAGAAGTCTTCCGCCTGGAAAGCAGCCTCTGCATTGCTCACCAAATCATTGGTCAAGTCCGTTGGAAAGCCGACATTTAAGTAGTAAAACAAGTGCCAGACCACTTCGGCATCTAAGGTGCCAAAGGGCAAAGTGGAAAAGTACTGCCAAGTGCCTAGATTCCGGGTGCGGTAGATGTAGCCGCAGGAGCGAATAAGTAGTGCTTGCAGCTCCACTTGGATGCGCTCGTACATGTCCGCGGACTTGGCCAGGTTGTTGTTTCTGCGTTAATTAAGTAAATGAACCAGAAGAATATAATCAATACTTACTTGTACTTATATGTACTTATACTCACATAAACAATTCGTGGTAATCAAAGACATATTGGAGGGTGTGGCGCACCAAACGACCAAGACGTTTGGCCAGTTGCTTATATCGCTCGTTGTTGTAGGTTAGCAATCCCTCGCCCATTGTTTTGACCAACTGGGAAAAAAACACCACTACCGCGAGCATTTTTTGCGGCGTGATCATATCTGGCTCTAGAATGTAGTCGTTTAGAAACTTTTCAATGCGCATAGCAGATCTAAAAAGAAAAAACTGTTCTAGAAATTCAAATTACAGGATGAACCGACTCACGTAAATATCTTTTCGAAAGGCAATTGGTTAAGCAGTGCGATTAGGTCGCTTTCCTTTAGCCCAATGCATTCGCCAGCGGGGGTGTGTGAGTCTTCGCCGTCGGAATCCACCACTATCCAGCGATCAGTGGCCCCTGTCGTACCCGAAAGTTCCCGAGTCGCTTGGGTCTGACTCTTGAGATATTCGTTGCGCTTCTTCACGGGCATCAGAAGAATCTGTAGCACGGACATGCAGTGGTTGAGTTCGGGCGAGTGTAGGTCCAGTGGCAGTTCATTCTGTTGGGAACCGTGGGATAATGTCCTCGTCCCAGGCAGCTGCAAAAATTGGGCGGCCCAGGAGCCAACGCCATTGGGACAGCGCAGTATGTTGAACAGCAGGAACCAGTGGTCCTCCCGGGTGGCCAACAATAGTTGCAAGGCAATCAGCTTGCGCAGCCATTCTTTGAGGTCCTTGTCGAAATTCTGTTCATATAATTGTGTTTAGTTAAATCTTTAAAAAGTTTCGGTGAATTTAGTCTTATCGGGTTTTACTTTAAAAAATTGTTTCTAAAATCTTGCAACAGGTAATTAATAATATACAAAAGTTGTCTATATTGCACACAATTTTGGTTCCAACTTTAATATAACTCTTAACTGTTGAAAATAAAAACGAAAAGAAGTTTGGCATTTACCGAATTAGGACTTGGCCTTCGAACAAAGCTGAAGAGTATGGAGATGGCTCTTCTTAGTTGGGCAACACACTCCAAAGCCTGTCCAGATTGAGAATAATTCAATGTTATCGCCGACTGGCCATCCGCATTGGGATAAGCCAGCATGTCATTGATTATTTGGTCCACCTTTACTTTGGTTATCTTAGCTGTGATCAGATTGCTGGTGTAAGTATGACAGACGAGGTCATACAGACCAGTCAGAGTCGACTGGGCTAGTTCTAGTTTGATAGGGTCCACCTTGATGAGACTATAGCAAGAATGAGATATAACTTAATATGTAAACAGATTTACAGAAGTAAGCCATCACTCACTCGTAGGTGATGCTCTCCTGGACCACATTTCCATCGCCGCAGGTTCCACTGAATGTTCGTGTTACCGGCTGGCGCACCCAGACTTGTTTTTGTGACTCCGTGCAGGCTTTTCGCATCTTCTCCACATCGTGCAAGTTCGAGGTGATCTTGCCCTGCAGTTCATAATATTCGAGTAGAGCAGCATATAATGGATCCGATTCGCTGGACTCCAACAGGGAGTTCATAAGAAACTCCAGCTCAAACTGTTTGGCCAGCTCCAGGTCGGGACAATCGTAGATTTGTCGTAGTTCCTCGGGATTCAAGGGTTTAATGTGACTCCTGGTTAAGGCGAAGCCGGAGGGAGATTCTGCCTGTTGGTAGACAATCTTGGCAGAGTGTTCCTCCACCTGGGTGTTGGACAATTGCATGGGTTGCAGATTGGGATACTGAATGATGTGAACGGTAGTCGAGGGCGGGGCACTTGGTGCACTGGGTTCGGCTTCCGTTTCTGTGGGATCCTGAATATCGGTTTCTGCTTCCTCCGGCGTTTCCCTCACATCGCTGGAAATGCAACACTCGTGGCTAATGATCGCCTCACCACTAGAACTGCTGGCCAAGGCCGCCACCCGCTCGAATTCCTCCAGCAGCGATACATTGTCCGCAGGTCTTTGTTCTTCACTTGTTGATAACTCAGCATGTTCCTCTTCCTCTTTTTGGAACTGTCCTGCGTTGCGAGACCGTTTGCTCTGCAGCAATAAGCTTATTAGATTAAGGGTATTTTTTTGATATGTCAAAACGCACCTTTTTGGGCTTCACTAGCGTGGCCATGATTCACTTGCGATTTCGTAGGTCTAAACTTTTTGCGTTTTATTTGTGTATTCTTGGGGACGCAGCACCGCTAAACAAAAATCCCCACATAATAGGGATGGGAAAAACAAGAGAACAGCTGTGAGCAGTCACGGGCACTCACGAGTGGGTATCGCATATCAACTTGCGGTTCATAACGATAATGAAAACTGCACGGCAACCCCTTATGAATCAACCCGAAGTTGGGTGGTAAATATTAAAACTAAACTCAAAATTTTGAATACCTTTATTTATGTATGTGTCTATTACTTAATGTTTTAATTCTAAAAATGATTTGAAATGATATGACTCGCGCGACACCTGTGCATCCCCGGCAAGCGAATCGATTGTTATCGATAGGCATATTAATGGGCAGCACTGGCCACTTCTGCAAGTTTAAGCCCGCGCGAAATTGCAAAACGGGTAAGAAAAAACGCAACTTGTTGTGTGATTTTGTATAAAAATACGTTTATTTGTCTTTATTTATTGCACGCTGCCACGCACACACACATGCGGTAAGTACATGCGAATGAAACTCGAGTTGCTACAAATGCGCGAGCAATTGCTCAACAACAGTCGCGCACAGAAATCACAGCATCTTTATAGACTTGAAACACTTGGCTAACTAATTTGTCTACTCTAGAGCTTATCTTACAGACTACGGACTAAGTGTTAGAGTTAACTAGCTATACACGTATGTATACAGTTAACCCTCAGAGCGCTGATCGGCCGGCGAGTTGGCGATACACGCCCGTTTCGCCCGCTCCCGGAACGATGTCCAATTGGACCCTACTGGTGTCGCAAATGGACTGCTGATCCGCGGATGCAGACCCTTCGGAGGTAGTGAAGACCACGGCAATGGGACTGCTTTTCTCCTTCTCCTCCGGCGAGGACTCGTACCCATGGTTGACCTTCTCCTCCTTACAGGTCGTCGTCGTGGCCGAGGAATCGCTGCTGCTCCGTCCATTCAATCCGGACTCCTCCTCGTGCTTCACGTAGTACGGCTTGCGGCCGGAGAAGCGCTCGCACAGCCTAAAGATCAGTGGATGCAGCAGCTTGCCGTCGTAGGCGTCATCCGGATGCTGGGTCAACAAACTGATCACTGTGCCAATAATGACGGTCAAGGCGGTCCCAATTAAGCTGTAGTACATGAAGCTGATCGAGTAGAAGCTCTCCAGTCCAGATCTACGTGGAAAAAAGACATACACAGCCATTAATCTCAAGGTATCACAGCTTAAGTTAAGTACAGTCTACATTTCCATAAAACAACCTTGTCAAAATAATCAATATAAGTCCCTTTTCTTGGTATAATGGAAATCCGATATTCGCTTAAAAGTCAGTTAAAATACATTAAAACGTTTATAACTCGAGATATCTCAAAATAGCGCAATATCGAATATTCAATAACACAATACTGTATGCACTTGTATGATTCAATATAAGAATTATCTTACCTTTCAGGTGCAACGGTGGGTGGCGTGGGCACGAAGCTCTGGTTATACCCATCAACGGGCGTGTGCGTCAGCAGCCAGGGCATTTGTCCTGGCTCAATAATGGGCTTGCCGATAGATTGCGAGAAAGTGTCGTTGGTACAGCCCTATGGAAATAGAACCGATCGACACATAGGAGATAGTTTATTTCAGAAATTATTTAAAAACTTACATCTGTGGTGGTGGGCAGCATGGGGTTGATCTTGTCAATGGTCATGCCACCGCCGATGATCCACAGCACAAAGGCACAAGCGGTGACCATGCCGGCGGAAGTGCCCTTCCAGTTGGCAATAGGCACCATCATGGCTAGGATAAAGCAACCCAACAGTGGTCCCGAGGTGGCTGAGAACACCAGCAACGAGGATTCAATAACGCCCGCCAGTAATCCAACTCCGAAAGCCACACACATAATGATTAAGCCACAGATCACGGTGATCAGTTTCAGAATTCTCAGCTGTTGCTTGTCTGAAAATCCCTTGAATTTAGGGAACTGTGATATGAAGTCCTCCCAAACAACAGTTGCCAGGGAGTTCAGATTGGATACCATCATGCTGGACAATTAACTTTGATTAGTTGAGACTCTTTCCAAAAATATGTGTTACCTACCAAAGGGCTCCGTTAAATAGAGTGGCCATGAAAATACCCACAAAGCCGGGCAGGAAACCAAGCTGATCTTCCACAAAGAAGGGCAGAATCTCATCGGGTTTCTTAATGTAGCCCTCGGCATAGGGATCGCAATTAATGTACGTTGAATAGATGACCATGCCGGAGATCCAGGAGAGCGAAAAGAAGAAGAACACCAGAGGCACATTGGTCAACATCACTCTGAAAATATTTTTATGGTGATATAAGAAAATATTTTTAATATGATTTTTGCTGCTTTCAGATTGTAGTTACTTACCGACGCACTTGCTTAAGCGACTTCAAACTGACATAGCGCTGCATAAAGTTCTGCTGGCATCCAATCTGGGAGAGGGACATAAACAGCTGCCCCAGCCACGCAGAGGTGGTATCCACTCTGACAGTCATATCGCCCGTGAAGTTCCAGAAATTGAGACGTCCTGGGAATAGAAGGGATGGTGTCTTTAGTGCAAGTGCATGGCGGGGAAAACATTGTGGAAGAGCAGCATGTGGAGGCATTCCCAGGAGCCCTACGATTGCCGCACAATGACAGCCAACAACTCAAACTCGAGTGACAAACGCTTCGCCGACACACATTTATTACTGTCGTCATGCGAGGCTGCCATTTCCTCCCCCCTTGGATTCGGATGCCGCTGTTTTATGCCACTTTTATCATCATCATTTATGTGCATAATGAGCCGGCGCAGAAACAGAAGGAGAGCAACGGCATCCCACAATGGATGCCATTTTAATAGTCATCATTCGTCAGCACTACACACACACATCCTGGCAGCTGGCTAATAAGCTGCCATGATCAATCGAAGCAAATCCCCCAGCAACTGATGGCTTACCATTGTCCCGATTTAGTTGGTAGACCTTCTTCACTCCGCCCGTAGAAATGGTGCCCTGGATGCAAACGGCCACAGTGACAACCAGGATGGTCAAGGTCTGGATGACGTCCGCGTTGATAGCCGCCTTCAGGCCGCCCTAATGAGTTGGAACGAGGGTGAACAGGAATTTAAATATTTCCATCATTAAATTGCTCGCATTCCCGACCCCAACTTACCATAATGGTGAAGAATATGCAAATGATGGCCATGCCCACGATGGAGGCCCAGTAGGGTATGCCAATCACCGTGGATAGGGCTACGCTGGGAGTGTAAACGGTGATGCCCAGGTTGCAGATCTGTCGCACAATATACGTCGCCGATGCCAGGCATCTCACCGTGCGGCTCTTGAACCTGGAAAATGGAAAGGATAAGGGTGAAAACAGGAGCAGGTGAGTGCAGGCTTTAATTAAGCATCTCGTCCAGGTGCCCCTTGCACTCTATCCGTTTATTTATTTTTATTAAACTTTTAATGTTGGTCCCTTTCTCGAGTTGCGCTCCTTGTTTTTTGCGCTACCCCCTCTTTTTATGATTTACTACCGCTGTAAAGAAGTTATGTGGAATCGGGCGAGAGGGCGGGTTAAATTTACGACATGGGCGAGAAAAACCTAAGAAAATTGGCGGGTCTGTAACTCGCTTTGATTGTTTTTATAGTTGAACCGGGCGCTTTTTATGGCCTTGGTTGTAAAAATTTGTGTGTTAATTTGATGCGAAATGTGCGACAAGATGGGGAGCACTGCTTCAGGGGTCCACCTAATGATCGTTTAGTATGCGTTATGTGGCATGGGGCGAATGTCTCAAGTGCCTTCGCTCACGCACCCCACCGGGTATGGTCTTTAATAAATAAACTGCTTTACGTCCGTAATCCTTTGATTGGCATCCTGAACTTTAAGCCACTAGTTCGGCCACGAACGTAACAGTCCGTTTCGGAACTATTAAAAAGTTATGTAGACTGTAAATCGAAAGGAAGCTTTAAGCATATCAAATGCTAACACAGAAAATGCCATACGACAAAGCAATATGTTATTTTATCTTCAGCCTTGGATTTTATTATATTATTTTTGAATATGTAGTATTTGTTTTTAAACCTTTTCCACCAGTATCAGTTATTTGAGATTAATAAAATATTCATTAATCAAATTTCTTTGAACTTCCTCTCACAAAATGAAACCTGTCGGGAATTTTTTTTTGTTGAACTATTAACAACGATAACAATGTGTTACATTATTAATATGAATTGCAATGAATTATTGCCATATTAAAAACATTAAAAACGTACTTGAATGGTGTTGGGGTTCAAAATTATGGGGATTTCAAAGCAGTTTTTGGGTTAATGATTTTAAATTCTTGATATTTACCCAACTGTAATGCAATTTACTTGTATATCATGATCACTTGAATATTTAAATCAGTAATATGTACGAACCAGAAATCTTTAAATTCCCAGATTAAATAGAGCTTCTAATAAGTTTTGTCGTACTTGAAGTTAAAGAGGTTTAAAGGGCACCGAGACTTTGCTTTCGGTTGATATTTTGCTTTTCCGATTGAAATTTTCATCATTCGACAGTAGACTAAAACCTGCCCTTTATCTTTGAACCGGACTGTAAATTGTCATCAGAGGTAATTTCTTGTTCAACATCTGGGCTGACTGCATAATCCACTTTTCTCAGCCCCAACTCCAACTCCATTCCCCACATCTCCATGTCTCAGACTGCCCTTCTCTGCTTGTTATTCGGTGTCTCTGCATTGCTCTTCGTGTGTGAGATGGCCCACTAAATGATTAATTGCCCTTGGCCAATATTGATCTGGGCCGAGTTGGGCTGTCAACGGGCCGTGTCTTGGCTGAGGACCTGGGCATGGGGCATGAGCGATTGGGGACGCAGGTGTTCGGCAAGAGGATTAAATGCATATTTAGAAGAAGGAAGAGATGCAGTGGATTTCATCTTTAATCGCCTTAATGTTCTGGTTATTATAAAACGAAGCCGCAGGCTTCCGCAAAGGAACCACGTATGTGTATTAATTAATGATGTTGCACTTTTCCCCCATCGGCAAACATCAATTGACATACGGGCAGAAGGGGCCACGCCCCCGAACGTCCCCAGGCTAGGTTTGCATTAAGCGAGCTTAACATATTTACCCGATCGACTTTACATTGTTGGGCGGAGGTTTAAGCGGTTTACATGACAACGCTTCGTATGCTTGATACACATTTTAATTGCGACACAGCTGTGTCCGTGGGCTGGAGGAAAACAATCGGAAAAGGCCGCAATGGAAAACTCCATGGCTGCCGTAAAAGCCTGGCCAATTTGGCCAAGGACATGTATGACAGTCGCTCTTATATGTGTTGATTGAATGGGCGTGGCACTGGGTGGGATTTCGGTACGATTCGGTTTGCTTGGTTGGTCAAACATTTATTTAGGCATTTGCCCTCTTTGCGTCTCATCTATTTCGTGTTCTTCGGTTTTTCTTGTTTTTCCCATGCCTGAGCGTGTTGTGGAAATTGATAAAGAAATATTATTGTAGGATACAATATCCCACAAGCACACAGAAACACACACAACCGTGCCTGGCATATTGTTGCTTGCGGTCAATTTTAGCCTGATATGTCAATTTAATATGATTTATGGGATTTATTGTTTTCGGTTGCCTTTCATTCCGTCTTCTACTTCGTCGGCGAGTGTTTTTCTACGTTGTCTGATTGTGGCATTTGTTTCTCATTTAGCCTGTTAACATTGTGTTCATCACAATAAGTGCTCGGCCAGTTGTCCTGGCTTACGATTTGCCCGGCTCTATGCCAGTCTGCCAGTCTGTCTGTCTGTCCTCCATTCCATCTCACTCCGGCAGTGTGTGAGTAATGACCTGAGGCTGTCACCGCCGTCCAGTTGATTGAACGTTGGCCCGGACCTGGCTTTTGTTTTAGTTTAATTGATTCAACCAGCCAGCGTACTTTCCCCCTTCACCAGCATAATTTACTTCGCTGAGTTGATTAAAGACGTCCTACGATGCGATTGTCGCTTAATAACTTTAAATGAAATGTAAGTGCCGCAAAGTATGCAATAATTGCTGCAGCCATGCCAGCGGGCAAGCAATTACGAGCAAGGACACTCACAGCTCCCAGCACCCATTTGCACACCCACCAACCACGCAGGACAACGTCAATGACCATCGGCACTGGTGGGTGTGAAAATGGGTTGCCAGCGAATGAGCAGGTCAGCAGGCGAGGGCACTGCCTACCCACCCATCCATTAATTGAACCCAGGACCTACCGGGGATTCACTTCCCCACTTGGCCATCGCCCTGAAATTGAGTTTAGCCTGCAACTCGGACCCATCATTTATCATGGCAAGCCGCTAAGCCAGTTTTTGGCCAGGCGACAAAGGCATAAATTAATGGCAAATTTAATATGACGAGTGGTTTTGTACAATGGCCACATAATCGCCGTTTAGTCAGCCAATCCCAACCCAAATCAGTTGGTACTCCCCATTCGCCTGTCTCTTAGGAGGGTCGAGTTAATTTTACAATCAAAGGCAATCTAAGCAAAGGTGAAACTGGCAAGAAGGGTGACACATTTGATTGCATTAAATGTCATGCATAAATAAACATAATCAGCCATATCAAGTCGGTGTCCTGAGTGCCGTCACTACGTTAAAAGCCGCCCACAAAAAAGGTGCGACAAAAGGTGGGAAAAAGGAATCAAACGAGAAAGGTTTCGGCTGATTTCATCGACTTCGAGGTACCCAAAAAGGAGAGCAGCAACTGATTACAAAGAGATAAACAAATGTTTAATTCAAATTGTAAAAGGAAGTATTTTTAAGGCCAAAAGAAATGTATGGCATTTTTGTACCCTGAAATTTAAATTAATTTAAGCTTTTAAATGATTTTAAATTTCTTTATCTTTTAAATGTATGTAAATTTATTGCATTCTGTAATGATTTCCATATAAAGAAGCTGTGAAATATTGGCAAACGCTCTAAATAGTTTGAGGCCATAAATTTCATATTTTTATTTACTCGTAATTCACTCAAATTAACTATGTTTAAATAGTCTGAAAATGAATGCATTCCTCTTAATAGATCTATCAAATGTGTGTGGCCTTTATTGCTACAATATTTTAATCTGGGTTAAGTAGTTTTTATTACTTTACATTTTAAAATTTATTTCAAAAATATTAGAGTTTTACGAAAGCTAAAACCTATTATTATTTATGAAAAACCTCCCATTCTTGAAACGAATGTACAACCATTTTTTGCAACGTGTTTTGCTTCAGCCCAATATCCCCTTTCATTTTTTTTTCCGTCAGTGGCATGTGTGTTACTCCCAAACAACTTTGTTGCCTTTGAATTGCAAATCCCGGCCTCACTTTGTAGCGCCGAAAACGTCTTTATTTATGCGTATGCATGTCGTCCTAAAACGCCGACCCGTTCACACCTCTCTAACTGCCGACCTGTTTTTCCTGGCTTTTTTCATTTGGTTACCATTCACTCAGGAGCACTTTGGCCCCTTGTACTCGTAAATAAACCAGGAGGAAGCCGGAATGCATTTTTCCCATTTGCTAAGTGCCAACAACTGTTCGCATTGATCTCTCCCGCTTCTCTGGCACACAGGCTCGATATCAATTTATTTACATGTAATTGCCACCCCACAATCACTTGGTGTATGAATTATCCGGGACGGACAAAGACGAACTTTACTTGACCATTGAACTCGATAGGGGCCAGATAGCAAATCTCTGTGTGAGTTGGCTAACACTTGAGTTGGCAGCGAGTCAAGGGTCATGCCCCTCCCTCCCAATCCGCCCACTCCTCCGCCCCCAACTTGAGTGGCAGACATCACTTGCGACAGGCGACTGACAAGTGAGAGAATCCACGACTTTGGGTGGGTGCGTGTGTGCTTGGGATGTCTTGGGTTTTTTGTTTCGCAAGTTTTCGGGGTGGAGATCCTGAGGCTTGGTGCTTGATGCCTGATGCCAGTGACAGGCAACAACACGCGCTATTTATAAACATTATGGCACAAACGAATTGTCATACAATTTGTCAACAGCCTCAGACCGAGTGGCTTCTTTGTTGTTGCTTCCTTTTTGCCTTTGACTTGGTTTTTTCTTTGGTTTTATACCCGGTTATTCCAGAATTCAAGGGTATATTGTCTTTTTGGAATTGTACATACTTGGCATTGGACTAATAGATACTTCGTGAAATTATTCAATTCATTTCTTCATACAAATTTGTGGAGTCAAAATGTCGTTTTTAGTGATGTATTACAAAATTGTGAGAGCCTCTAAAGATATCTTTTTACAATAAAGGTGGCAATATTTACCTATGTGCTTGTAAACTATTCTCATTAACTAAATATAATTTGTAAAGTACGTTTCCATTGTGCTGTTCATTGCTATATTAACATTCTTAAACATCAATGGATGGGTATCATTCAGCCTAGTAAATAAACTATGCTATCTTTCATGTTTTGGCATTGTCCTACTGTTGCCGACGTCACGGCTTTTGTCTTTTCCTCATTTTTTCTCAAACTTGCTTTATTTGGCCTGGTTGGATGTGTTTGGCCAAGTGGCTTTTGCCAATTTGTAGCATATTCACTTATCGGCCTATGTGTGTGTGCCCTAGACCCCATTTCCATTTTCCTATGCCAGGCCAGAGGCTCAGCCTATTTTGATGAAGTTGTATGCATAAACATGTCGCGGGGCGCCAGTTGCGATGACAAGCGACAATGAGGCCTCCAAATGTTGAGCGCCCAACTTTTTGGGGCAACATTTGGCCATGTTGCGCCTCCTCAACCCTTTTTGGATCTCTTGTTTTTCCTCTTGCCTGCTTTCTTTATTTCTTGGCATGGGGCAAAGCCAATTGACTAAGATTGATGAAGTAGCTTGACTCGTTGGCTCTTCAATTAGTTTGAGTGTTCCGTCCGAGCTGAGTAAAATGAACATTTATATAATAGTATTTTTTGAAAACGAACTTTTTCAGTCACTGATGTGGTCATTAATTTAACTGCGTTTTAAAGGGCACAATGCATAACAAAAATCTATGTGTAAGTGATTTCACAAGTCATTAATTTAATTCGTTTTTAATTTTTCAATATAACATAATGTGTATGAAATTAAAATATAATTAAAAATTAAAGTGAGAAGTTTCTTCTTTGAAAACATTTTAATTCATTAAGGGAAAATGAATCAAGTTTTGCAAAGCCTTGGATTATTGAAATTCATCAAACTAGTAAAAACAAACTATGTAGATTTTTCACCCATCGATTTTATCATTAATTTCTCTTGGACCCCCCAAAAGAGTTTTTGTATTTCAGTTTGTTTATGCTAATTTACAAATTACCTCCAGTTCTTCAAGCAAACATTTAAATAATTTGTCAATTCTGCACAGCTTTCGCTTTACATAGTTTGGCATCGTCCAGTTCCTCCTCTCGTAAACCCCCCGAAAATGTTGTCAATGTGCGGCACATGCCAATTAAATTTCAATCAAATTATGCTCTGCCCAGCATGGCCACACCCCCCACCCACTGTTTGCTTTGTCAGTTTTTGCAATTAATTGAATTCTGTTGTCGAAACTGCAAAACATTTGATAACAAATTTGTTAACTAATTTCGAACTTAAAAAACAATTAGGCCCACGAGGCGACAACTTGCGACAGATGGAAATGGAAATGGAGGCGAAAAAATAGGAGCAGGAGGAGTAACAGACACACCGACGACAACTGGGCGATAGCATCCAAGAGACCAAGTTCTAAAACTGTGTCCAAGTCCAAGTCCAAGTTGGTATCCACGGCGGGGCAAGGACAAATCTATAGATTATTTGCTGTGCCGGCTCGGCTTTTGTTTGGCCATTTGTTAGAGGCTCATTGTTGTTTTCTCTGCTTGTTCGTTTTTTGTGTAAAATGTAATTCAAATTTATTTAGCAACGCAGCAACTTGTGCCAGGAGCAGTGGCAAAGGCAAAAGCAAAAGCAGAACCTGAGCTGAGCCCTTGGCGCTTCTTTGTTTAGTTTCATTTGGCCTCCTTAATGAAGAATAAAATTGTGTGCGCTTTGGCGATAAGAGAAGCGACACAATCCCATGGACCAGTCTCTGCGACGCATTTGGCGAAATTAAAATGGATGTTTAAATAACAATTTTCCTGTTTCCGCTTCGCCTCGTGCTAATTAAACGATGTGGCGCTTAGGGGAGTGACTTTCTTCGGACTGCGTGGGAACTTGACTCACCTTAGATCGATGTACTGATAGACGGAGGTGATGCCCAGATTGAAGTAGACGGGCACAAACATGAAGCAAACGATGGGATAGGCACTCATCATGCCATAGATTATCTCCCACATGGCTGATCCGCGGTAGTACAACTCACTGGGATACCCTGTAAAACAAACAAATATATTGCAACACAAAGATAAATTTAAGTTACGGAATCCTGTCGGTTGTGTCGTATGAAATATACAAATCAAACCCAATCATATCTTTAAATTTAAACGGAAATGATCTCTTGAAATATGTTAAAGATATTATAATATGATATGATGTTGAAAGAATGCAGATCAAATATATAGGTTTTATTTACGAATTTCTATTGATGCCCCGAAATATGTTAAACTCACCCAGCACGGATCTTACGCCCAAAGTTCCTCGAGCTATAGAAATCATCACCGCCACGATCGAAACTCCTCCGGTGGCAAAAACATAATCGGCCTTGCTTCGCTCCTTCTTTTTGCCAAAAATGCGTGTCCACAGCGGCCCCAAGACGGTAAGGGCTATAAACAGCACAAACATCAGATAATCCCAGCCCAGAGTGCTCAAGTCCTTGGCCATGTTGCTGCTGCTTCTGCTGAAAATGAATGAAGAAAGGCAAGAAATGAAAATCAAAATTCAAGTTGGTCACCGGCAAAAAACAAACACAATCTTTTCAACTTTGGGGTGGCTTTTAGGTGAGATGTGAGCTGGGTAAAACGTTTTCCAGCACAGTTGAGCATGTGCATGTTAGTCACGCCCGGTGGACATAATGCCAACTGAGCGCTCCGTGTCTCGGCGGCCCCGTTGTCGAGCAGGAAACTTGACAACATTGTTGCATATCCGCAGGCGAGTGGGGCGGGTGGGTTGTGGTTGCCTGCACCCATCATAACACTTGCATTCAACTACCACTAGCCCAACATCCCAACAACTGAACCTCCACAGATAGAGCCAGACCAAATGAGCGGCAAAAAGCGGGCACTACTCAAAACTCACAGGCCGGCAGAAAGCCCCACAGAAAGACAATGTTTGTAAACATAATTTAAACATTGCATTTACGTGGAGTACATTTAATCTGCCAGAATGTGTTCTTCAAAATCAATTTATATATAAATATACATTTTCTAAAATACTTCAAAATCTTAAAAATTTTTTTTTGAAGATTTGTAATAACATTTTTTTTCTCGAATAATCTCTGTTGTTCTAATGTTAAAATCAAAGACTTACAAAACATTATTTTTAAAACCTTATAAATTAAAGAAAACATTAAATTGAAAAACTAAATTGAACATAGAATCTATGTGGATAATTAAAAATTTTCGTATTCCTTTGTCAAGTATAGTAAACTTAAGATTTGTTTTTCACAGTGCATCTAAGCAAAATGTGGCTCGTTGTTTGAATTTATGAACTTCGGCCCACTTGCTGACATTTGTATGCACGTCGCGCCGTAAGGACATTTCACTGTACTTCAGTTTCTGTGGGTGCGAGTGGGGAAACCCAGAAAGAGAGAGAGTGCAGCTTAAGTGCGACTTTGGTGGCGACTTTGTGTTTTTATAGCTGAGCCAAGCTGTTGAGCTGCCCTGTGATTCAGGGGCCAGGCGGCCAAAAGAAATGGCATAACCCAGCTTAGGGGTTTCTACTTCACCTGAAGCTGTCGTAAAGGAGACTTCTTGCTTTTTATGTGTGTTCAAAATCGGTGTTACAACTTCAAAGGGGTCCGACTATAGCAAGTTACAAAGGCCAGGGGAAGAATAATTGAAACTAATGTTTCATTAGTTTTTATGTTCAAGCATGTAGTTTTTATGTTTAAATGAGAGAGATCTATCTTTTGCTATATTTTTCAAATAAATATTTACGACTTATGAGACTTTTTTAAATCCATTCGGTATTCTCAGAATAAAACAAATAAATATAACAAAATAAAAAGCTTTGTAAGAAATTCGCAAGTCATAAATTCTCTTATCAATTTTATTAAAATTAATTGGCAATCTGATTGACAGTATTGAAATGTAGTTTGTTTATGTTAAACATGCCCATTTCTCGAGAAACTGTGATAGTCTTAGCTTAAATCCAATAAATCTGCAAGTCACAGATACATTTACGCCTCGCAAAATTCCCACACGATTCACATGATTAAAAATAATTGATCGTTTGTGCGAAGATGACTATTGCAGTCTCACATTACGTATACGCTTCATAGGAAAGGGTCGTCAACTGTTTCGGAGTGGACTTGCCAAGTCATTCGGTCGTTCGTTTTTTGGCTGGTCAACTAATTGACAACATTTAGCATGCAGTTTCACCTTCCCTGCGAACCCCGTCATTTGCCATCGCTTTGGCTTTTATCTGACATGCTGTCTGGCTTTTGTTTTGCCTGGCACTGTCAAAACTATTAGTCATGTTGTTTTTACTCGAGCTTAGCTTTGTTTAAAGCACAGCTGCCGTGTCACTTGCCTGACAGCCGCAGCAGCAGGATCCTGGCCAGCTCTCTCATCTTTGTCCTTTCGCTTTTTTGGCCAAGTGATAAGCCGGGGGACAAAAGACAGGAGCCAGGAGTCAAGGCAGACAGTTCCAAGGGTCTGTGGCATTGTGCGTGCTAGCTTGTGTGCAAAACGTTATTTTCTGCTTGCTGAGCTTAAGCAAATTATCCGTGATCCATACACCTGCCCTCTATTTAAACGTCCAGAAGTGCATAAAGAATATATGTTAACGTGCAAATATTCTTGAAAACTTCTTCTCATAGCCACAAATTACAAATTTTATTTTTAATTGAGCAATATAATTAAATGTTGCTATTGTATTGAACAACCTATTTTGGTAAATTTTCTTTAGCAAATATATTTAAAGAGCTTTTCGCAAAAATAGTTTCAGTATTTCAAAAAGAAAATGATAATGAAATAGATTTTTCAAGGTATCTAAGAAACTTATAGCAGCTCAATAAAAAAGTTATCAAAACAAATAATAATTATTGTATAGTTTCGATAATTTAAAATAGTTTCTCTGTCCAGCTTATTGTAATTTATCCTAAGTGTATCTGCCTCTTTTGTTTGATATGCGAGCAAAACGAATGTGGCCACAAAATGTCCAATAGACAGCGACGACAATTTGCGAACATTTGCATCAAATATGTATGTAAAATCCTTTCAAAAAAGGACGAGAGAAGGTAATAGTGGAGGAGGGGGCGGAAGGGAGACAAGCTACACGTATGCATAAGTTAGTAGGGCGTGGCCGCCGCCCCTTCCGGATCAAGCTGGCACTTGAAACTTTCGCCCGGCACACACAATAAAAGTGGCAGCCAAGATGGGCCCAGGATTTCGGTGGCAGGATGCTGTCGCCATATTCTGCCACTTGCAGTTAATATTCATGCAGTTTTTTGAAAAATTATACAAAAGTTGGCGACATGTGTGCGGGCGGGCTTGTGTGTGGTCTGTGCTTAAAGGAGTCTTCGATGCCAAGCATCATAAATTATAAAGCAGCTTGAAGGAGCGACAAAAGCAACAACGAACCGTTGACATGTCCTGAGTCCTGGCGAGGAGAGGCACGTGTGTTGCTGTTGCCTGTCACTGACAGCCACAATGGAAAGTTATTAAAAATAAAAAGCCGGCAAAACTGAAGCCCGCGTAAGCGCTCGACTTAACTTCCTGCGCACTCCGCCTTCTTCGGTTCGCCGACGAGAAATTTATGGCACTCATGAAATATTCAGCATATTTCTCCTGATGGCCAGGGCCGAAAATCTGCCACGATAATGCGCCAAGATCGTCAGACAATGAAATGCATATCAAAAACACATTTGCCAGGGATAATGGAAAAATGCAAAAATTGCAAGCGCCACTTGGAATGGCAAATAAAATAAAAGCCGAAGCTGAACTTAATTTGCCATTTAATGGCCTGCAGTGCCCGCCAGCTGACAAATTGAAAATGTAATTTAGCCAAAGTGCAGCCTCGACATTGGCCAACGGCCAACAACTGGAGGTTGCCAGGAGTGGAGCCGTTTTTCCGCCCTTTGCTGACGCAGAACGTATGAAAAACTTTCGTTTTTTCGCTACCTTGCATGACCTGGCATTAAGGAGTGGCCCCTTTACAAAGGCTGATCACACGATGATGGGCATCAGTAGCAGGAGCAGCAGGAGCAGGAGCAGGAATGGCACGGATAATTATGGTAATACCGGGGAAATTACACTACATAGTTGCATATATGCACAAGGCACTCAATTTATGCGCCACTTCAGATGAGTTTATGCGTGGGGTGCCACAAAGTTGCATGCATTTAATGGCAATGCTCGAAAGTTTCTTCAGTTCGTTGCATTTGCTAATTAAGCTGGCAAAGTCAGCTGGAGGGTGTGCCAATCAAACTTTTATTTGACAGATTTCTCTGGATGGGGATGCAACTTTCGCGGAAATGCAAAGTGCAAAATGTTGTCCCAATTTTGGGAATCTTTAGAACTTTTAACTGCCACCGCTTTTTGGCCGTATGTTCTTGTCAATTGTCTTTTTTGGACAAGACTGGTCGACTGTCTTTATTCATTTTTATAACTACACCTCACAATATATTTATTATACACTCAATTAATATTAAAGATTGGTTTACAGAACAATATAATTAGTCAATTACTATTTGTTTAATTGTGTACCCAATACTACAAATTTTAATTAAGAATGACATGTCAAAAATGATCTATGAATTAAGATTAGTTTTGCCGATTTGAGTTCTCAAATTATGATATTTTGACGAGTGCATTTTGAGGGAAATGCAGTTAAGTCAAGTGACTGCAACTTAGTTTTTGTTCTTTGTTTTACGCTTTATTTTTTGTTTTACGTTGGCTTGGCGCTGGCAAACTTTGGTCGGTTCATCTTCTTCATTTTTGCTGCTCGGCTGCTAAAAGTTGTTAAATACAAAAGTTTGCCACTTAATACCAGTTCGAGTAATGAAATACGAGTCAAGCTGTAAGCAGCGATCCGAGTTCCCCGTAACAATCCTTCCAGCAAATTGAAGTTGAAGCATGCGGTTGGCAAACTTCTTCCTGCCATTTGCCAACATGCAACTGTTCCCGACTGTTTTTCGTCCAATCCGCCCGGCCAACCAGCCACCCAGCCATCCAGCCACCCACTCGGCCACCCCCTTAGGGCCAAAACCAACTCGATTGCATTTGGCAATTGTTTGTTTAGCTTTAACCGCTCGACGCTTTACACATGTTCTCGTCCCAACGGGCCGGCGACCCAAGAATTTTGTGCAAAAGTTTAGTTTGATTTCTTTTCGACCACGTTCGCCTTGGCCGGGCTTAATGAGAAAAGTCATTGGGGGCGTGGCTGCCACGCCCATGTGCGGTTGTTTCCCCCCACTCTTCCTGCACTTTTGGCCAGCTCAAAGTCATTTATCAAACGATGCCCGAAAAATAAATACTCGACTTAAGTTGCCTCTTATTTATCGTTCGCTGACTGTTGTTGCCAACAGAAAATAATGTCAATTTCTCAACTAGCCCTGGATGGGGTTAAACTTTCAATTGCGATCATTTATAACGAGTGGTGCTTGGCCGGCGAAGGAATCAAATTCTCCTTTCTCTGGCCCTCGGAAAACATAATTTTCCGCGGACATTTTTGTAA